AAAGAATTAACTTTTTCAATATCAATTATCAACTCTTCTTTTCGTAAAGCTAGAATAGTCCATGACTAAATCACTTTCAAAGAAAAGCTAAAGCTCAATATTTACTAAAAAATTTTGTTTAGAACACAACTAACTCAACTTGCCACTTAGTTCATTTGAATGTCAATATAGTTGCTAACTAGCACATATACGAATGCCAAAAATACAAAGCTATAGCCAAGTTATCAACACTACTTGCATCAAAATTAATGAAACTTAATATCAATCATATGGAAAGACATTTCATTTCACCTAAATTTCAACAACAATAATGTCAACGTAAGGCATCACTTCAATGTCATTAACACTAGAACAAAATTAATAAAAATCACCACTCAAAGTTCTTTATCAACCAAGCTAACCAAGGTCAAAGATACTTTACTTAGTATTTGACACTAAACCTTCAACAAAACTCAATTACAGATAACATATCATCAAGGAGTGATTCACCATATACAAGACTCAATGTAATCTAATACCACAGACTAAACACAGCCAAATGATATCGACAAAGGTAAAATTGATATACTAATATAGGAAAACCATGCAAACCACGACATGATCCTGTGCAACACCATCCAGTAAAGCAAGTCTCTAACTGTTAAATCATCATTGAGCAAAGCAAGTGTTAATAGTCTTCAATGAAGTCTATAAGCAATCATTAATTGCAGAGCAACTAATAATCACTTTTCAACTTACCTTCATGAAACCCGAATACTAAACTTATATCATTGAGTCATATACTTATCCAACATTAACGTAATACCAAGATATGGAATATGGACAAATACAAATTAAATCACCACTCGAATCCAATTGAACCCCAATAAGCTCACCAACATATTTAAGCAATAGCTCTGAATATGCCTTGAAAAGGTCAATTATGCATAATCAACACTCAGCCAAAATTAAAGTGAAAATCTGAACTCATATTAGTTTTGGGTTTAGGGTTTACTGGTTGCTTTATTTGTGCTAAATTTCAACATTACCCAGGTGCATTTAGGATTTCACACATTTGAAATGTACAACAAATGTGTGGAAGAGAGGTCTTTGAAGGGGTGAGGAGTGAGGATATTGTTTCCTGGAACTCTCTCCTGCTTGGTTATTTTGAAAATGCAAATCTATCAGTAGCTCTAGACCTGTTCACCAGCATGGACTGTGAACCAAGCTCTCTCACCTACATTGTTGGACTCAAGGCATGCGGAGGCTTGGCAAGTGAGAAAAAGTCAGACAAAGGACTCTACCTTGAGAAGGGAATTACAATTCATAAAGGAGTGAAAGAGCACGGGTTTAAGACCGACATAGTTGTGGCAACCAACTTGCTAGAGATGTATAGCAAGTGTGGCAGCATGCATCATGCCAGGGAGGTCTTTGAAAGCATGTTTTCCCAAGATGCTGTGGCGTGGAACACTCTCATACTGAGATATGTGGAGAATGGGGACTATGCAGTAGCTATGGATTTATTCAGCATCATGGACTGTGAGCCAAACTGTGTGACTTATTTGGCTGCTCTCAAGGCATGTGGAGGCTTGGCCAGCGAACCAGAGTCAGAGAAGCAGCATCATCTTCAGAAAGGTATAGGCATTCACAAAAAGCTCCAAGAAGGGGGATTTGGATCCGATATAGTTGTGGCGACCACCTTAGTCGACATGTATGGCGAATGTGGTAGCATGCAGAACGCCAGGGATGTGTTTGACAGAATGATCCAGTGCAATGCTGTTACTTGGACCTCCCTCATCCTTGGATACGTTGGGAACGGCCAGTGCTCAGAAGCCATGGATTTATTTGCTAGGATGGACTGTGAGCGAGGTTCCACTACATATGTTGCTGCTCTCAAGGCATGAGGAAGTCTGGCTACTGAAAACGAGTCAGAGAAGCAGCCATACATGAAGCCCATTGCAATTCACAGAGAAGTGGAGGATCGATGACATAGTTCTGCCCAACACTCTGGTTGCGATGAATGGCAAATGCGGCACATGGACCGGGCCAGGGAGGTGTTTGAAAAAATGCGCAGCAAGGATGTTGTTTCATGGAACTCTCTCATACTTGGATACGTGGAAAATGGAGATGGCCTGGCAGCAGTGCTTCAAAACACGCCGTGCACCATGGCGTGTTGGCGTGGTGACACAAACATGGCCCCCAGCCGTGTTAACACGGGCCGTGTTCATTGACTCGGTCAATGCTCCAAAACACGGCTCCAAACACGGTTGAAACACGGTCAAATACCGTGTGACCACGCCGTGTTCTAAAACAATAGCTCACGTGGTTCACGTGAGCGTTTTGTGCTTTGATGTTTTCTTGTCTTGCGATCAATCAAAAATTCCTGCGATCAATCAAAAGGTTTTTCCAGCGATCTATGGCGATTTTCTTGGGCTGGGAATGCCCTCTCTAGGATTCTAGCACTGGAGTGGGAGGAATGGCGCTCAGCCACACCTGATTTCACTGCAAAAAATTCCTAATCATTGTCTCCAGGTTTGTAGATTTTCTCTCCCAAATTTTCTCCTTGGATTGCTTCTGCCATAATTCTTAGCTGCTTGGCACTGCATCTTTGTAGATTGCTGTGATTCTTAGTTGCTTGGCGTTGCGATTGTGTTATTGACGGCGTGATTCTAAAATTTTGAGTTTTTCAAAAATTTTTTAGGCACAGGGCTTGACCGATTGTGGATTGGAACAGGAGCAGGGTGTGGGATTTTAGAGGCTGAGCAATTGTGGATTGGAGCAGCAGCAAGGTGTGGGATTTTAGAGGTTGGACTGAGTGATTGTGGATTGGAGTAGAAGCAGGTGCAGGATTTTAGTTGAGCTGAGTGATGGCATTTGGGAGCCAAAGCAGGAGGACTTCAATAGGTGACATCCATCATGCGTTTGGTGGGAAGAAGTGATCCTTGGTGATCAAACAAACTGCTGTAGTGGGCATTGACGCTGGTCTTGTAAGTGGTGTTCGTTGAGAGACAAAGTTTCAGGTGTGGATCGTGTGAGGGGACATCTCACAGGGGAAGCTGGTCATGAAATCTTAAGTTGTGATGTCATCTCAACAGAGAAGAGACAACAGCTTAGGGAGATGGGTAAAACCATCGATGACCAGGTTTTGGCTGGAAAACACCAAAGCAAGAAACGAGCAGTTTCTACACGTGTCAAAGGCATCCAAAGCACTGGAGGAGAGAGTTTTGTTGCTTCCCAAAGTTCTACACCAGGTGGCAATTCTGTAGAAGGAATTTCCAGGTTTTTTTCGCAACAACAGCAGGGAATCCGAGATTCTTTTGATCCAAAAAGGAAGGAAGCAGTGGATATGGCTATAGGACGATTTTTCTAGAATGAGCACATACCATTTGTGAAAGCTCGTTCTCACCATTTCAAGGAGATGGTGTAGCAGATTGCAAGGCATGGAATTCCTTACGATCTTCCAACAGAGACAGCATTGTGAGAGCAATTGTTGCAAGTGGAGAAAGCCAATCTTGAAGTTCAACTTGCCAAGGTGAAGGCACGTTGGAAGAATTGTGGGGTTACTCTTGTTGCTGATGCATGGAATGACACAAGAAATCGACATATCATGGAGCTTGTTGCATACAGCAGAGGACAGTCGACTTTTCTCGAGGCCATTGATATATCTTCTAGTGGGAAGATGGCTGATAACGTTTTTGCGACATGGGAGCGAGGTATCGAGATTGTTGGAGAGGAGAATGTTGTTCTTATTGTCACGGATGGTGAGGCTTTAAACAAGGCTGCTGCTAGGCTTCTAGAGGCGAGGAAGCCAAGGATTATGTGGGCTCCGTGCTTAGCTCATTGTTTGAACAACATTCTCAAGGATTTCGCAAAACTACCATGGATGGTTGGGCTGCTAGACAAGAGAAAGACTCTGGTTGGCTTCCTCCGGAACCATTTGCATCTAGTAGCGATTTTGGCATCCTTCTCTTCACGATGAGTGTTGAAGTTCAGCAAAACACGATTCGCCTTCATGATGGAGAGATTGGTGGAGCTAAGGCCAAAGCTACAACAAATGTTTGTGAGCGACGCTTACAATGCAAGGCTAGAGTCAAGGACAGATTCTGGGATAGCATGCCGAGGAATTGTGTTCAATGATACATACTGGAACGAGGTTAACCACATGCTGGGTGTTTCAAGGAGGGTGATGTATTTGCTACGGATGGTTGACGGAGACGTGCCTGTGATTGGGAAAGTCTACAAGGGGATGGATCAGATGAGCGAGAACATCCGTCAACAAGAGGAGAACAATCTTAGGTATGAGGAGCTAAACCAACTGATTTCAAACAGGTGGTGGGCTTATCATAGCACCTTTCACTCCGTGGCATACATGCTTGATCCAGAGTTTCAGGGGCAAGGACAGGAAAAATCCAGAGAAGTTTCCAAAGATTGGAACATGTATTTGGAGATCCAGTTCCTTGACTATCAGCAAAGGTCAACTATAAAAAATCAGCTTTGCCAATACAGGAACTTGGAGGGTAGTTTTGGCACCGGGGACTCTCAGATGGATCGTACAACAAAGGGTTCTGTGCAGTGGTGGGAGGACAATGGCTACTCAGGTCCAGATTTGCAGAGGTTGGCAATTCGAGGGCAAGTTCTTCCTCATCTGTGGAGCGATTGTTCAGCATTTTTGGGCACATCACTTCAAAGAAGAGGAATTGCTTAGCAGTGAGCTGGATTGCAGACTTGGTATTTGTGGCCAGTAATACCAAGTTTCCTATGACAAGTTTGTGGGATTGAGCCAAACAGGAAGTATTCCTCAAATTACTGATGCTGATATTAAAGCTATGGAAGAAGAAGATGATGATCCTGCTAATGAGGAGCTTCTAGATGAGATGGAGTGATAAGTAGAATATTCTAGAGAATATTCGTGTTTTCACCCGTGTTTATCCGTGTTCATTTCCGTGTTCCGTGTTCGTGTTCAAAAAATTGAATGCCGTGTTCGTGTTCGTGTTCATGTTTTGAAGCTATGCCTGGCAGCCATGGGCTTACACGCTAGAATGGATTGTCAGCCAGACTGTTCCACATATGCAGCTGTGATTTAGGCATGTGGAAGCTTGGCTGAACTACAAGCCGGGCAAAAGATTCATGCTACCATCTGCCAGCTTGGATTCGAACAGGTTCGTCCAGTAGCAATCGGTTTGTTGGACTGTTATGGAAAGTGTGGCAGCATGAACAGAGCTGAAGAGTGTTTCAACAACATGCCCTCTCCAGATATAATCTGCTGGAACTCATTGCTGGGAGGATATAGTTCATTAGGAGATTCGACTCAAGTATTCAGTCTGGTGAAGAAGATTCAGAAGGCTGGGCTTAACATTGATGCCATCACATTCATTTCTATTCGCACGGCTTGCAGCCATGCAGGCCTGGTGGAAGAGGGGAAACATTACTTCGATTCCATGACAGGATTGGGCATCAGGAAGAGTGTGGAGCACTATAACTGTATAGTCGACATTCTTGGCCGAGCAAACAGACTTGAAGAAGCACTAGTAGTTGTGAACAGCATTCCAGTTGGAGCTGATGCTGTAACTTGGAGGATTCTGCTCGGATCCTGTAGGAAATGGGGGAACGTGGAGATTGGCAAGGTTACATTTGAGGCACTGGTGCAGGCTGTTGGCACAAAGGAAGATGCAAGTGCCTACGTGCTGATGAGTGATCTCTACGGGAGCATGAGTTCTATAGACAAGTTTCTGTAGAATTTGGTTCATATTGTTGAATTTGCTTGGTCGGTAAGTTGACAATCGCTCACAAAGATTGGGTTGGAGTTGGAGTTGAGTCTTGTCTTCTTATGGCTTCGACCCATAGAGCCATGAGTTTCACTTTCTCACTGCACCGGCCAGAAAACTTTCGGAAGAAGGAAATTCTGGAAGATATAGTCTCTTTGACATCATCTACGATATCGCTAGTCCAAAGCTGTAACCAAAAATCAGAAGAGGGAGAGAAAAGAAAAAGCTTTGCTTGAAGCCAGACCTTTGAGGCAACTCTGTCCACAAGTCTGCGCAGCAGGAAACCTTCTCCTAATTTTGCGTGCACTGGACCCCAATTTTCCTGAGACAGAGGACTATAATTCGTGCATTAACCACCACAGTTTTGAGTTGTACCTTGAGCCAGTTCCAAGCTGTGATACCGTTGGTTATTGTTAACCCGGAGAAGATGTCGGTGACGTTTTGAGGCCGCACCTGAAGGAAAAGTATGACAAATATACGAACTTGGAAGAGTAACGGGACTAACCGCTGGGGATAGTGAAAAATTCAAAGCTTCAACGACGAGGACAGGGTCGGAAGATCCTGCCAGTGTGCCTGGGAATGGCAGTTTCAGCTTAGAGATTTGTAGTTTCAGGAGTGAATGACTTACTCAATGCCAGGTTACGTTCCTCCAACTTATCTGAAGATTTGTAAATTTCAAGCAGCTCATCGAATCCATATCGATTACAATCTTTCATCACACTTGCATATGCGGCCTGTGAGAGCAAATTTAGTAAGAGAAGGCAACACTGGTCAAAGACCATTACCTTCAACATGTTTGATGCCAGGGGGACCATCGCCTTGTTCTTGAATCGCCTCTTGGCTTCCAATATGGTTTTCTCATGCCCAAGAACCACTAAAGCATGCAAAAGTTCCTCCCTGAGACCGGAATTCAAATGACTTTCACCTTGAACGGCTTCCCAGCTGAGTTTGCTGGAGAAACTTGACAATAGTAAAAGGCAAATATTATACAGAGAATAGGGACATACCTGGTTGCGTTTTCCATTAGTCCAACTAAGAAATTACTTACTCTTTCTTTTGAACTTGGGATTGCAACAGATACCACATCAAGTAAAGAGAGTGCAACCTGCAGTCATGAACGATATTGGGTTTCGTAAGAACTGCAAAAACCAGAAGCTACACGTACGGTGATCATATGTGACAAGACGGTGGGATCGTCTTCCTGTCTGTAAACCTCCAGGAGAGACAATAAAGCAGACAGGGGCTGTCTTGTGGACTGGCATAAGGCAAACATATCGTCCAGAACACCTGTAATAGGATTGGTCTGGGGATAATTCTGGTAAAGAAAGACCCACCTAGTCTATCGACAGGAGAAAGCCAGCCTGAGGAAATTGAGTCTTTCAAAGCTGTAAGCAGTTGTTCATCATACTCCACGCGATAGAATCCGCTTTGTCCAATGTTAAGTTTCACTACAGTTCGTGCTGGCAGGCGAACTATACACTTTCTGTCCTTGAGCAATATACTTTGTTGGCAGTTGTAAGATCCCGAAATAAGTTTAACAGGAACTATCCATTGCCCCTCGGCGGGCTGTCCACTTGCAAGAAACCGAGTCTAGTGCACGAAAGAAGTTTGCATTTGAGACCAAATATAAAATCTATGAGACAGTCTTACCTGTTCAATCTCTAGCTCATGGTCATTCAGCATTGTGGCCTTCAAAATTGGATACCCGTTCAGCTTTGTCCAAGAGCACATCAAGTCTTTGATTGGTTTTCCAGTTACTTCCTGGATACAATCCCATAAATCGTCTGACTTTGCGTTACTAAAGGCAAATTTCTCCATGTACAGTTGCAAGCCTCTCTGCAGGAGGGAAAAAGAAAAGAAAAGATAGAATTCCACTTGTTCACTTAAGGCTAACTACTGACCTGGATATCCGTTAGACCAACATAGTCTTGCAGCATATAAATTAGTGAGGCTCCCTTGCAATAGCCAATAACATCAAAGACTTCCATGGTTTGACGAGCATGCTGCACTTCCATCTGTGAAAGCAGAGTGTAAAAGAGTATGCTTGATAAAAATTCAGACTTGAGGTACCTCAACTGGATGAGTTGATTCCAAGGCATCCAACTTGAAAGCATCATACATGATTTCTTTGTGAAATTCCATCCAGATGTTCCAGTCGGGGAAAAGATAATCGACAGCCATATAACTAATCTGCAAACCACCAGCATTGATCTTAATCTCAACACTATTGAAAGTACATACCCAAGTAGCCATGCCTTCGTTAAGCCAGATATGAGTCCACCATTCTAGTGTGACAAGGTTACCAAACCACATGTGCCCAACTTCATGAGCCACGTTTATAGCAACCTGCAAAAATACACGGAAAAAATTAGCATCAGTGCACAACGTGCTTCAGATACAATCTCACCTCCTGTTTCTTCAAAGTTGTAGTATTTTCATCTACAAACAAAGCATCATCCAGAAAAACTATAAGACCAAATTCTTCAAGAGCACCAGCCTTGAATGCTGCAACTGACACAATATCCAGCTTGGGAAGAGGATATTGCAGTTGAAAGAATCTGAAGTAAGCATAATCAGAAATGGAAAAAAGGAAAGTGCAGATTACCTTGCATAAAAAGGAAGCACTTTCAGCATTATATCGAATCCGAATTTTGCTTTCTGCAGCTGTTCAGATCTTGTGTACACTCTTGCCGGAATACCATCATCGGACACACCTTCCAGATGTTCGAATTCACCAATCGCAATAGCAGTTATGTAGGTTGACATTAGAGGAGATTCTTGAAACTCAACCATCTTGGTGTTCCTGTTTACTACCTCCTGCAGAGCAGGCATAGTTGACAGAACCATGCGATCGACAGGAACATGAACTTTAAATTTAAAACACGCCTATAAGATGAGGAGAAACAGTCAGAAGATATACTCGTAAAGATTGTAGTATAGTACCTTAAAATCTGGTTCATCCCAGCAAGGGAAGCACCTTCGTGCATCAGCAGGCTCAAAAACTGTTACAGCCATGTTTTTCTCAACCCCTCCGCTCTTGTAAGTGCTGTGCAGCGGAAAAGTTTGTTATTGAAAAATACTGAATACCAGTGTACCTTCGATAAAATGCGTCAAGCTTCTCGTTGAGCAATCCATGATAGTCGATAAACAGAGTTGCTTTTCCTACATGCAGTTTTTTTTCACCGAAGTTCAACACTAGCAGTTCATTCTCTTGATCGACTGTAGATGCCGCTGGATGAACGATCTGTACAAACCAATGTGCACATCAAGACAAATTTCAAGCAGAACACTCGAAGGCAGAGAGGAAAACCTCATCGAAATCCTCCACATAGCGCAAACATAGCGATTCAGTTTCCAGAATAAGATCCGCAACATTCAGGACAACTTTGGAAACTGGCTCCACAATGTCCAGGAGAATTTGGAGCTTGCCTTTGAATGCACAGGCATCGAGATCCACCCATAGCTCCAGCTCATAGCGACGAGGCAGCACAGTTTTGGGCAATCGACTGCTCGCCATAGCTGAGCCAAACTTTCTTCCCTCAACTTATATTACAAACAATAAAAACGGATCTGCGGTCAGGATCAAACGGCCGAGGACGGCCCAGATTTTTTTGTGGTGGATTCGACGGCACGATCGCGTGGTCCGCAGGGAAAAATCAGGATCGGACGGCTGTGAGGTTTTCACCGCGTGCGCGCCCAATCTCACGAAATCGGGCATCTTGGGAATATGCTTCTGTTGAGCTTTTTCATGTGAATCAAAATTGGCGAATTTTGAAGCAGCTGCTGAAAGTATGAGAAACGATTCCTGAGCTGTTTAGCTTCACTCATTTTCATGTTCAAAATTGAAGTGCAGCTTCACTGTCCTGATCATTCATGGGCCAAGTTGTGTGTGCTGCAAATTGAAGGTAAGTCCTGAAAACTAGGATTGAGCTGAGCAGCCGAGTGGGAGACATATTTTCTGAAACGGGCTGAGGTGTTGAAATTCACCATCAAGGGCGTCAACTTGGATTTTCTGGGTTCCTTGTGGATGAGATTGTCGACCTGGCTTTTGTGATGAGTTGCCTAAAAAATTGGCATTAGTGGTTGCAGCAGAGCTTGCAATCCAATAAACAGTCTACTACAAAAGTGAACGTCATTTTTTCAAGAAGTTACAATTAAGGGTCTAAAACAGGACTCAGGAGAACAAGGTAGTGGTGTTCATTTGAACAAAGGCAATGAAGCAGCTGAAGAAGTACAGCAAGCAAGAGCAAAAACTCTACAAGTTGTGTGCTGACTGTTCTTTGCTATTGGAGAGTTGCGTGAAGGATGTGAGCATCGATGTAAACCATTCTATTATTTCAAATGACAAATCGGTCAAGTGCTAGATTCTTTAGTGGGACGAACTGAAATAGACGGCGGTCCTTCCGCTTCAAATGGATCCCTTTCTGGTTTAAGCAATTCAACATCATTAGACCCCACCTCCTCTTCTGCCATGGTGGCTCCATCTAGCACTTGACCAATTTGTCGTTTGAAATAACAGAATGGTTTACATCGATGCTCAACACTACACATCCTTCACGCAACTCTCCAATAGCAAAGAACAGTCAGCACACAACTTGTAGATTTTTGCTCTTGCCTGCTGTACTTCTTCAGCTGCTTCATTGCCTTTGTTCAAATGAACACCACTACCTTGTTCTCCTGAGTCCTGTTTTAGACCCTTAAGGCAATGAAGCAGCTGAAGAAGCAACCAGAAGTTCTTTCCGATCAGAATTGCGGTGAGGGTGGCGGGGAACAAGCATTGTGGTGGATTTGCTTGCAGTTGAGGAGCAATTGACATATGGCGGGTCAGAACTCTTCAACAGCAGGTCCGTCAGCAGCAGATTGCTTGGGAGAATGCGATTTTCAGGTACTGGTCTAGGCTATGTAGGCCAATTAGTGTCTTTTTGAGCAGGAAGTGGATTGTGGGAGTTTTCTCACTACAATTCAAACAGAGAACATGCTGGTATAATCAGAGCTTTATGAAGCTTTATGTTACTAGCTTGCACCTGAGTTCTTGGCTGCTAGGGGAACTCCAAATGCAGAGGTTTTAGTGGCTATTCCAATGGTTTTGTGTGCTGTGGGTTTTCGATGGTGGAATTGGCTTGAGGAGTCTTGTGTTGTAGATAAGAAACCACCAGTGTCTACCATGGATGAGTTTGAGGCTGCTTTTTGTTTACGTTTTGCCCCTCATTACGACGTGGAGAATGCTCGTACAGAACTTCAACATTTCCAGCAAGGGAAAATGACACTTGGGGACTATATTGAGAAGCTGACTCGCTTGATTAGTTGTGTTCCAACGAAGGATCCAAATCAGAACAAGTCCTACTTCATTGATGGCCTATATAGTGAGAGCATATGGCAACATTTACATCATTCTCAGCCTACAAAGAGTTTGGAGGAGCTCTATGATGCGGCTTGTCGACTTGACAATGACAAGCACAAGTCTCGCAAGCGTTCGTGGAGTCCTTCTGTCAAGAATCGTCGTGATGATTGCCATGGACACAAGGATGGGAACAAGCATCACAAATTGAAGTTAGTGGTGACTACTTCGGATGCAAAGGGGTCCAAGAAGCAGAAGTTCTTTATAAAGAATTATAGATAGGGTTGTCATCATTGTGGACTTGGACACTACAAGGCTGATTGTCCACAGTTAAAGAACAAGCAGCAGGACAAGAAGAATGCCCAATTTTCTTCTCACGGTAAGTCAGATACTAAAAAGTTACAAACTTTGCAGTGTGAGGATGACGAGAACGACCATTCCTGTCAGAAGAAGAGACTTTCGATCGTGGCTCGTCAGCTCAACTGTGTGTGGAACAAGATGGAGCTCAAGGATACGCGTGAATCAGCTTTAATGCTGGAGGGTGTGTTCCGTGGCCATCCAGTGCGGATTTTACTGGATAGTGGGTGATGACAACTTTGTTTCAGCCAAGTTTGTTGCAAAGCATGGCCTGGTCACACGTGGAGTTCTTCCATACATAGTGGAAGGTGCAACTACCTTTGCTCAGCATTTCGATGCTTGTGTCGAGGGGTTGGAAGTGTTGGTTGGCAAAACCACACTTGTGGAGACTTTTTATCTTGCGAATATCCATCGTGTGGATCTCATTCTTGGGATGCCATGGTTGGTGAAGGTGGATCCAGAGATAAAGTGAAGTATTAAGCATATCTTGCTAAAGTATGGTGGCGTTAAAGATGTGTGTAAGCCACAAATTTTTCCTTTCCAATTTGCCAGCTTATCTCATCTATG